AAGAGACCACCCACAGAGGGTGAGAGGGGAATTTTTTTTTATATAACACAGTTTATAAACTATGTAAGACCTGTACTATTTTGACTGCATTTAGTTGGTGGAAAAAGGCAGTTCTGGTGGCAACTGACACTAGGTGGCACCAAGTGTCAGCTGCTGCAAGCTGAGTCTGGTGGCCCACCAGGCTGCTTACACACTGGGGGAAATCCTGATTATGTAACAAATAAAACTGCAAAACTTTGAGCTCCATTTTTACCAGCTTGTGTTTATCAGTGCTTGTGTTTAACACCATCGCGGTTGCTATGTGACACAACATATGCCGAGTAAGGGTGGGAATAAATCTGAAGGTCAGTTCATCCAATTTCACAGACTTTCACTGCCAGACTTCATGGTCAATGTAGGCCAGGTTCTTTGATGACTCTCAGAGAATGCAGCCCCTACACACCCAGTATTCTCTTAAGTGTAACATTTAACTATTTACATAATGCTTTTCTCTTCTTTTCTTTATGTGCCAGGCGCCTTAGTCCAGGCTGGGATGACAACCTAAAGCTGGACGTCGGAGTTACATCAGCATTTTTCGGGCACCCTGCTCTTCATGTAGCTGGTCTGCTTTAGGGTGCCATGGCCACTGGAACAGAGAACCGCCATGACCGTGTTCTGGAGAAAGCCAAGCTTTCACCAACATCAGGGAAACGCAGGAGAGCAGAAGGGAAACCCAAGAAGAATTTTCCTTGTCAGGAGTGTCAGAAGGCATTCAACAGCCTGGAGAAGTTGAGGGTGCACTCATACTCTCACACAGGGGAAAGGCCGTATCGCTGCTCCCATCCGGACTGCACCAAGGCTTTCGTCTCCAAATACAAGCTGCTACGGTACAGCAGGGTGCAGCATGTTGATTTTTTTTTTTCTTTAGGCTTATTCAAATCTAGCATTATAATATACTAATGAGTAGCTTTACTTACAGTTCTATGTAACGCATGCTAACTTTGAATATAATTTCAGCCATTCTGAATGCTCATAGATTGTGTCTGTGTTCCAAGGCATATGGCAACTCACTCACCAGAAAAAAGCCACAAGTGTTCATACTGTGAAAAAATGTTTCACCGCAAGGATCACTTAAAAAATCACCTGCACACTCATGATCCACACAAGGAGGCCTTCACCTGTCAGGAGTGCGGGAAGAGCTACAACACCAAGCTGGGCTTTAAGCGCCACCTGGCCCTCCATGCTGCAAACAGCGGAGACCTGACCTGCCAAGTGTGCCTGCAGCTGTTCCCCAGCACTGTGGTTCTCCTGGAACACCTCAAAACACACGCTGGCAAGCCATCTGGAGGGACCAAAGAGAAGAAGCATTGTTGTGAACATTGTGAGCGTCAGTTTTACACCCGCAAAGATGTGCGACGCCACATGGTGGTGCACACTGGACGCAAGGATTTCCTCTGTCAGTTCTGTGCACAGCGCTTTGGTAGGAAGGATCATCTGACACGCCACATGAAGAAGAGCCACACCAGGGAGCTGCTGAGGGTAAAAACTGAACCAGCTGATTCGCTGGAGACAGATGTTTATGATTTGGCTACTGGAAGCATCAAGGACGAGCTTCCAGCAACACTGACAACAAGATCACACCAGGTTAACATGTTCACAAGCTCCGATCTGGACACACAGCCCTTTTCTTCCCCCAGTAATCCCTTTTCTTTAAAGTACCCACTGAGCTCCAACTTTACCTCATACACCATCACCTCACATGAGAGGGAGCAGAATCTAAAGGGAGAACTGGAGACCTATCTAATGGAGCTGCAGAACACCATGCCATCCTCATCCTCTGCATCTGTAGAGCCTCAAATCCCGTCCTCCAAACTCGAGTTGTTACCTCATGTAGGTATGCTGGAGGAAGCAAGCGAGGAGGCATCCCTTTCCAAAATTTCCACGCCAGCAGCAGGTCCTGCAGCAGACTCTATGGCCTCATCTTCTTCACTTATGGATTTCTCCCAACTGTTCAACTTCTTGCCACACAATGGGCCTCCATACAATCACATAGGAAGTGGAGGGGGCAGCATAGGACCAGCCATCACCTTTCCTTCCACTGAAGAATCTGTTCCTCTACTCCAGCTGCCCCCCCAGATGCCTGTGGGTGAAGAACCTGCAGAGAACCCTCTCCAAGGACTCCCCTCCTCCTTCATATGTAGCCTGAGTACACCCACAACACTACCCCGGTTTCACCAAGCATTTCAGTGATGGAGTCTGTCCTGCCTAAAGCAGATCCCCCACAGCTGAAACAGCCAGACAGGATTCCAGTAATTCTAGATAGTCAGGCCATTTGTTAAAAATTGAAGAAACAATTACAAAGCAGGAGGTGCATGATGACCAGGGCCAGCAGTTACAAACATACACAGCTTTATATATATCTGGCTTATTCAACCTTAGCAGATCTTCACCTTCATTCCAGATGAATTACCCTGTCCTTTATTTCTGGACATATTCTCCTAAAGTCTTTTTCTGTCATATTTTCTAAGCTGCTCCAAAGACAGAAATTACTTAAATATCTATGAGCTTCAATGTTCCTCTTTAATAGCTTGATAGAAAGTTTCACTTAGCTTCATGCTGATTTAATGCTTGTTGCAATAAGCAACTAATTGTGATATGGATATAGTGATATAGATATAGTGATATAGATATAGTGATATAGATAGCTCATCTTTAACCTACACTGCCACATTGTTGAAGAGTTTTTATCTGGGATATTTTCTCTAACTGCAGTAGTTCACAGTTTACTTAGAACTTAATAATCATTCCTAACTCTTTATGGAAACAGACCCCTGCTTTAGCTTCATACGTTGCCATAAAGTAGAGTGCTACTTTAGATTTTAGTGTTGCCATATTTTTAAAGCACACCTCTGTAGTTTTTGCAATAATTCAAACGAATCATTTTAACTGGGAAAACATCTCCTAATATGCAAACTGTTTTGTTCATGAAATAGGTTGTAGACATGACAGAATGCAATAAAAGGACACACTTTACACAATCTGAATCACTGAAAGCAAATGACCAAGCTAGAACTACTGAGTATCTATTTAACTTCCCAACAATAAGCAAAGTCCACAAAATAATATAATTGAAACTAATAAAATATTGAGCTAAAAGTGATCCAGCAACAAGGTTTGTGAGAGTCAGCACTCAGTGATTAGCAGTGATAGGATCTTTCTTCAGTTAATCACCCAACTAGAGGACCAAACTATCTGTGGGCAAGGTACAACTGACTTACTTAAAATCATTTTTTGGCCAAATACCCAAACTAACAGCTGTTTCTCATAAAACTAATTGAAACAATTTAAATAACTCAACAAAACGAATGGTTTCTCCACACAAAATGCCACTTTTGATGTAAATGACCCTTACATTCACAGGGGTCAGGGACCAAAACCCCCAGGAAGTGGCTAAAATCTGCAAATACTTGAGACCCTCTCTAAAAATGTTTATAACTGCCTTACAATTTTTAATAGTTTAAATACCAGTTACACCTTAATATACAGTAATAAACACAATGGAAACTGTCTTATCACCACTGTAGAACTAACATCCTCTGTCTTCCTTGTTTCTACTCTGGCATCTGGCATCATCAAGGAAAATGAATGGTGCCCCTTGATTGGCTCCTTTACAAATGCCAGTATGTCTTGTTATATTGCACATTTCAGATTCATAAGCTGTATTTTCTTTAAAATCTTTTTTTTTAAATATGCTCTATGAAAAGATTTGCAAATAAGCAAATTTTTCAAACGGTATTTGGAGTAACGTTAACAGAAAAATACATGAATAGGTGAATCCTGCAACTAGGCAGGGGTCTACTGTATTATTTACTATAGCATATTAGCAAAGAGAATTTTCAATCTGAAGCCTGTATACTTGATTGCATTGCTAAAATCTGTGATAATGACATTGATTATGACTAAGTCCAAATTTTCTGCTTTTGTTTGTTTGTTTCTTTGCCATTTCATATTCCCAACAGTTCTCAGTGAGCTTTGCATCCGCTACTAAAAATCTAGAACCTCCATGGACATTAAGGACAAAGTCTATCCTTCAGGTCGAATATGGTATCTACATGCAAAGAGTGAGTATATGATACCTACAACTGAGAGATGCTTGATTTAAGCAGTCTTTTGCAATATTGCTCACAGAGGACCCCTGTTGATTCAACATTCAGTTTATGGAGACAGATTTGTCTGTGAACCATGTAACTCTAAATGATTTGCAAATAGTTTTGGACAGCATATCAACATTTCTAAAGAAAATTTGGCTTGACAAAGCAAAAAATTTGTAAGTACAGCTCTCCTTCACATGCTGTTGGCTGGTGGTTGCAAAACAGCCAATCCAGGAGCTTCATCAATTTTCCTTGGCAATGATTGGCTGTAACCCCAAGAGTAGAGGTAGGGAAGACTGGGCACAGCAGCTGCTGTGTTAATGCTAAGACAGTTTCCACTGTGTGTATTAATCTATATTAAGGTATAATTATTGTCTTAATGATTAAAATAGGCAGATATGGGGGTTTTAGGAGAGTTCTTAATTATTTGTAGATTTTAGCTATTCACAGTTGATTACAATCCCTAACCTTGGTGTATGCTGGGGGTCCACTGCACATTGATGTTCCAACAAAGATGGCAGTTCCATATATTGTATTGGTATATAAAGAACTTTATTTACCAATTAAAACTAAAGTTATAAAGTCGACATAAGTTTGGAGCACTTCCCATTTAATACAGAGGCTTCAGTTCTATAAATAATGCCTCCTCCAAGAGTTTCTTTAATAGAAGAAAACACTAAAACATGGTTATAGCTGAGATGTTCATCTGCTGCCCTGCAAATGAACGTCACATGTGTGACGTGTGATTCACATGTCACTCAAAACCACCTTGTGATCCACCAAACCCAAAAATGGCACTTTTACCAGCACAGATCAGGCATAACTTTATGATCACCGTCTTTAAATATCTGATTAAACATCCCATCAGAGCTGATTTTTATGCTGTTATTACAACATTAGTATATTAATATATAATGATGTTTGAAACATAATTAGAATATTTATAGTCATGACTTGTAAGTTTCCTCTACAATAAACAATAGTTCTATCTCTTGCCTTCTATTAAAGTAAAATCTGCTGTCTGTTTAGACTTTGTTCAGGTCTTAGTAATATGAAAGTTGTTGTGATCTTCCTGAAAGTCTTTACCCAATGAATCATTACCCATTCTCTTGAACTTATCTGCTGTGGCCCCCGGAAGTCTAAAAAGTTTGATTTTTATGCAGGAATGAAGGGATAGGGTTCAACTACTGACAAAGCATGTGAACAGAGACGTAATATGTCAAAGCACCACCACAAGCCAGGGCAATGGGGAAAGTAGTCTTGGCAGGGTTTGGCAACACCCCTCTCACTCTGTCAGTTGAACAATAATCATACAGCATAACAAAAGTTCCATGCAGATATTAATTATCATTATAATCAGTAAGTATTTTTGGGAAAACACAGAAGGGACATAAAAAGAGTGCCTTTGAGTTGAGACATCCATCATAATTCCTATATTTTTAATTTAAGCCTGTTTTCTACATCTTTATATGGAAATCATATTCTCTTATTAACTGACAGTCAGATTGTAAATTACATTTAACACTGATGCTTCATTTCAACATGCCATTAGCAACTCTCATCCCTTCTGCTATGTTGCGTCAATGAATGAATGCCTGTATTGTTATTGGGCCAAAGCAGTACAGCACAATCCAGAAATGCGACTCAATATGACATTCATGCTACAATAAACACAGAAGTTAATAAAAATAAGTTTAAATATATATACTGTCCTTACATCTAGTGTTGCTGTTTATGCAGAGTTGGGTTCTGCTGAGCTGGGATCCCAGCTTTCTGGGACACACTTTGGTTCTGTCCTGATTCTTCTAGAGTCGAGGTAATTTGTATGGAAAAAAATGTCTAAAGATGAAAACTTCTTTAGAAAACTTAAAGCATGGAAGGAGATTTTAATGTTCAGATTCAGTCTTTAACAAGTCAAAGTGAGACCCAACCTGTTGAGGTTAAACATCTGTCAGCTGCTGTTTCTTTTTTTGAGATTAGGAATAACTTTAGATGTGTGAAGTCCACATTAAAAAACAGAATAATATAAAATGTATAGTTTTGCTAATTTGCAATTCAAGTCCCAAGATGAGCCTTTGAGCCTTTCACAACCAGTCCTAGTTCCAATCCCTAAATTTCTTGAAGTGGAACTAATAATTGCCTTGCATTCAAATTTATCATGCCAAAACTGCCAAAGTCACAGATTTGGGAGTAGAAAATACCACACGTTCTTAACCCAGACAGCAGTAAGATTTTTTTGGACCCATATAAATATGGAATGACTGTGGATCAATCAGGAGAGTATGTGTCTTTTATTTTGAAGGTTGAAAGTTACACTCCAACTTCTTCCTGTCTCATGTTGATGTATCCTTGAGCTAGCCACTTAACCAAACGTTACCTACCAATTTGTGTATTGGTGTATGAACGTCAGCGTTTGGGAGCAGTTGATATCAAAAATCAGTCCATTTAAAGTTTCTCATGGCAAAGATCTACTTTCTAAGGATCCTGATCTTGATAACTGTTTCATTTTCTGACGTTTTCTATCTGTTCTGCTTTCCCATATTGTTTTGTCATTAGAAACTATGTGCTGTTGATATCCATCAGCATATACGTTGGTCGCCAGGAGCTGCTGCTTTCACCGTCAGGTTACAGGTGAAGAACTCTCTCTTTTCCACTAGCTGTGGAATCATTTAAAAGTTCAAAAAATAAGCAGACATGATTTGTGTGAGAGTGGTGAAAAAGACAGTTGTTCTTGTATTGATGCATGAATGATGTTTTCTGACAAATATCTGGGGTAGCTGAGACTCTCTGTTGGAAATAAAACCATCTGAACAGGGAATGGAGATCAGGGTTCCCTCACTAAATTGTTGTGTGGTTGATCTGGAAAAACACCTGGTTTGGCTGACGTGTGCTTTCTGTTGAAATGCGCAGAACTGACATTTCATTAGTGTCCATCATGGTGTTCTTTACCTCACAGCTTCAGTATTCAAATCATGAACTCCAGTTTCTGTTTAACATTAAGTTCCCTTGTATTCCTTCCTGAATAAGGTTTTTGTAGACCATGTAAAATATAAAGTTGAATGTTACTGTGTCAAAGCATTTATCAGTGTGTGCTACCTGTATTTTGTGAAAATTTGATGAAAAATGTTTTTGATAATTGCAGCACTTTGTGTTCATGAAATGCCTTTAATCTTCCAGTGCTTTTGGTTTAAATGCTTAATACAAATGTAAAATGATATATTTACCTCTTTTAGAGAACAGTAAAATGTAAATACATTATAAATGTTTTATTTTTACAGTTTAACGTGTTGACAGTGTTTTTCCGATAAAAGTGTACTTTTTGCTTTACTTGCACACAGTCTGTATGCAGTTTGAAACGCATACATTTTAGTTGAAGTTAATTATTCATACGCTCTTATAGGCGAAGCCACGTCAAACAGGATTTAATGAACATTTTAACACCCAAATATATCTTGCTCCAACATGTTTTAATTCAAACTAATGATGCTTAAAAGGTCTATACAACCTGAGACAAACAGTACATTCAATGTTGCATTGTCCTCATTCATCCAACATTTCAAACAATCATCTCCTGAATGATCTTATCAGAGTTCTGTGTTATTATTAGAGAAGTATTTTCACAGAACTATTTAAGTTTAATTGGTGTCCATAAGAGTTTTCATCAGACTGGGATCTGGACAGGGGTTTAGCTACTTCAACAGCCTCATTTTATCCTTTTTCTGTTATTCTGTTGTAGATATGAATTGTCTTTTTGGATGAGCTACTTGGGCCAAGCTTCAACTGGAGGACAGATGGCCTTAACTCTGTCTTGAGAATACATTGTGAATGGTACAGAGCAGGGCTGCACGGTGGAGCAGCTGGTAGCCCTGTTGCCTTGCATCAAAAAGATCCTGGCTTTTCCCTGTGCATCTATCAGTTTTCTCCAGGTATCTTGGCTTCCTTCCATAGTCCAAAAACATGACTGCATTGTTAATTAGTCTCTGTAAAATTGCCCTTAGAGATGAGTGTGTGTGCATGGTTGTTTGCTCTGTGATGGCCTATCTCCCCACAGTGTACTCTGCCTCCCACCCAATAACTGAAGATAAGTAGCCTATCTGTTGGGTATAGGAGACGATGGCTGGATGGTGCCGAGCTGTTCAGGGTAAACTTAAATGAGCTCAATGTATCCAGAACCTCTGGCTGTAAAATCAGGATAAACCATCACTTCCATGCTCAACAGTGTATATGAAGAGTTAATGCAGAACATTTTAGCCAAATAACTGTAGTAGCATTCAAAAGAAATTTCTCAAGCTGGTTTGTTTGGAATCTAAATTTGAAAAGCTTGGTAACGTGTGAGATGTAGCTGTTGAATGTTGTGACCTCGAGGTAAATTCTGATCCATGTTGTATGTTATTGCCGTTGTATTGACACAAATATGTGCTACAGAGCAACTAACTGCCAACTGTTTTTCTGATGTAAATACTGTGATGCAAGCAATGAGGGTGAACTTCATTTTTAACACCCGCCTTCTGCGTTTTGCTTTGGTTTTTGGTAAATAAATCAATTGTGTCAGATGAATTTGTTATTTGTCACTCGAGGTTGTATTCGTTTTAAGACTTGGTTTGAACCAGATGATTTAGGTATGGTCTATCAGCATCCTTTGAATTAAGGAAGGGTATACTTACTTTTTCTGACACAATTTCCGAGATTGTGACAACAGATTTGTTTGGTTTTGTTTTTATAAATGTGTTAATAGATGAACCCAAATATTTAACAGTATAAATTGTATGTTATCTAGAATCCAAGGATTTTAATGAGATGGTTGAAGAAAACATAAAAACAAACAAAAGGCCTTACTGATTTTGTGAAATAGTTAAAACTCTCAAGCTATGTTCAATCTTCCTTCTGAAAAAAAAAAATCTTTCTCTGGTGATGTGGAGACAAAAGGCCACCAGTAAAAGGCAGACTGTAGGTCATTTAGTGTCAGATGAATTTATAAGCTCCAGCAGTACCAGTGATCTATATTGAATGTGTATGTAAGAAACACTGCAATACTGCAAAAATATTATGGTATTGGAACAAGCTGCTATAATATGTCTAAAGCTCCTTAAGGTGCTACAGACCTCTTTCTCTTAAATGTATTGTTTGTACATGTATCCAGCTTAGCTGAAAAGCTGCCATGTGTGCCTGCTTCTACCTTATATAGATATTTTTGTTGTACTGTGAGTCTTTGTCCATCCATTCAGACATGCTTGTAATTACATGGTCCCAGTATACCGCTGCATACACCACCACCATATGTAAAGACGTTGAAAGAAACAGAAGAAAGATGGGAATATGCAGAGTATGTGCTGATCCTCAAACGTTTTTGCATGCTGTTCAAAGTTGAAGGAGTTGAGAGATAAACTTCATCAGACGTGTTGGGTTTGCTGCTTGTTCTGTTTCAGCATTTTCACCCACATTGTCGATAGCAAGTCAGAGCACAATCTCTACAAGTTGATATACATTTTCCATTTTCCCAAACTACTGTCATATTTTAAACATATAGGCAAAATAAATCATACATATAAGTACAAATACATATGTGTTTATAGATGGTGAAAAATCAATGCTGCAGCTTTTATCAACTGTTTTTTTCCTTCTTTATCTTTTTAAACATTGTCATTATCCAAAGAAAGTTTATTTATTGGTTGGCAAAATAACCAGACTTCATTCAAATACAATGCTGCTATGAAAGAGGAGAGCTGCATTTGTCAACTCTCATGTTTTTACTCAGTGTAATGAAAGTTCAATAAAGTCAAGGAAAAGAATCAACTTTTGCATTCGTTTGGTTATTTTTGTAAAACTTTCACCAACCAGAAGTTCCTTTGCAAGTCAGCAACTATTACGTATTCATGTCCTACCAGATCCAAGCCCATCAGCTGAAAGAGCTGATACAAGGCAGAGACGTGGTTCTGATGAATAGAAAAAAAGAAGAGTTTACTGAGACAGATAATCCAGGAAGTCCTGGGTCTCCTTGTCCCACTGATCACCTGTCAGAATGGGATTATATTTTGTTAAATGATAGAAGGGAGGTAAGAGGGTTGTAAGCTAGGTAACTAAGTGTTTAGTGTTTTCTCAAAAGCTGCACAAAGCAGATGCTCATTGTGTCACAGTGAGCACTCTCTGTGGCTTCTGAAAAATATCACTCTTATTCCCACAGAATAGAAACCTGCCCTTTTTACCCAGCTCTGCCTGCTATAAATAAACTGAACTCTGTTGAACTGTTAGTGTGAACTCACTGAACCCAAACAGAAAAGATTACATACCTCAGAGCACCACGGGTATTGCTCAGGTCCAATCAAAACCTTGTATCATTCTCCTGACTGTGGAGGCTCTGCCTTCCTAAGAGAGCCCTCCAACAGGAGAGGAACATGAAGTTTGATTCTTTGAGAAAGAACCAAAGAGACAAATGTATGTAGACATTGACAGTAGAACTACATTTTCTTCTGTTTTACTTGTGACCCTCTGGATTGTTTTTAGCCATTGTTGTGTCAGGTTAGCCTAACACAACTCAATTAATTTCTCAATTATTTTCTGTCATGCCCCTCCAAGAGATAATACATGTTTTTCATGCCCTCCACCCCCCCGTCCTCCATCAAATTGAAATACTATGGTACTCTGATGATATTTAATAATTTATCTGTACTACCCTCCAGCTCCACCATTAAATTACCAAATAATCAAAACAGCTGAAATAAGAGATAGCATCTCATTTCATTGCTTTAAGTTTCAAAACAATTTCCAAGTTCAGTTTATTAACTCTATCAGCAACATTTAATCAAGACTGCTCAGTCTGTGCAATTAACAGAAAAAAGTGCAAATAATCAACTGAGATGATGTACATTTTCACAGTAAAACCTTTTAAAATTGTAGAAATGTATTTGTCAACTTCTTCAGCCTGTTTTTCAAAAGGTATGTACTTTTAAACATTTTTTTGTGAAAAATTTGCAACAATATTGCTTATATTCCAGCTTGTCAGAAGAAATGGAAAGTGCATAATATTTTACATTCACAGTAAACAGGCTTTGTCTACCCATGACCTGGCCAGGTTCATTTGTTCAAACAATTATATGCAAGTATAGACCTGATGGTAATGTCTAATCATCATAATGCTCAGGAAAGAGACAGGTTCTGCATGCCAGAGATGAACAGGTTCTGATCCAAAATGAGCAGATTAACCCCAGAACAAAAGCCAAAGACTTTGTGTGGATGCTATCTGAAGCTGTCATTATCCACAGTGAAATGTGTCCTGTACCGAACTCTGCTAAACACCTCATAAAGTTAAGGACCTTTTTACTTTTCTCCATAATATGCTCCATCTGATTTTCCAAGTTAGTGTCTTATCAAAACTACTCCCAAAAAATGAAGGTAGTCAACCCTTTTTAACTCTCCCCTATAAATACAAATTTTTATTAACCCATTTTTATTTCTGAAAAATATAACTGTTTGACTTCTGAAATTAACATTTAAATCCCTATTCTTTCCCCCACTTACCTAATTTATCAATGCCTGTGAAGTTTTAAAATAAGATGTTCTAGATCAGTGTTTCTCAACCCTGGTCCTCTCCTCCCCCCTGCTCTGCATGTTTTAGATGTGCCTCTATTCCAGAACAGCTGATTCAAATGACTGCATGACCATCAAGTGCTGCAGAAGCCTGTTAATCACCCAGAGATACAATTCAGGTGTGTAGCAGAAGAGAAACACCTAAAACATGCAGGACAGGGGGGCCTGAGGACCGCCCCCCCTGTCCTGTCCTAAATGTATCCCTCTTTTCATTAATGTTCCATTGTCAGCACAAAGTGATTTGCCAAAACTTAAAGAAAGGTTGATGATGATTTCAGTTATCAATCATAACTGAAAATAATACATGAGGACCCTATACACTGTCCTATTTCTGTTATTTTAACAGTCCTTCAAGTGCTACTTTCTCAAGGTCAGTCTCCAGCCACTCTGAAGACTGACCTTGTTGCTGCCATCTCTTGCTGGCATATAGTGGTGGGTGGAGAGACAATAGGCCGTAAAAAGGATGTTTCCTTGTTTCTGAGAGGTGCCCGACATTTTCACCCTCCCACACGCCCTGTTGTTCCTGTGTGGGACCTCTCTCTCGTCCTCTCTGCCCTGTGATCTCCTCTGGTTGAGCCCTTGGCAGAGGAGAGCCTATGGTGTTTGTCAAAGAAGACTGCTTTTCTCCTTGATATGGCTTCCGCAAAACGGGTGGGTGAACTACATGCGTTGTCTGTTCACGAGTCCTGTTGCCGTTGGAACCCAGCTGGTTCGGACGTTACTCTTTAGCCTTTCTCCCTAAGGTGGCCTCATCTGCAAGCCACTCTCTGCCCTCCAGCTTGCTCACTTTGATGCAGGTGGGCCTGATGTTTGGGCACTGAAAGAGTATTTCAGACTTATTATTAATTTTAGGTCAGTTACAACATGGAGAACAAAAGAGAAACCCGTGCTGCCTCCCACATACACACACAAAAGAAAAAAACAACGAGAACAAAATATCCCACATGAATAAGAGATAAAGTTATTAGTTTCTTCCTCCAGTCCACATTGATAGGTATTTTCTCAACCTACATAAAACAACCACAGACAACGTATGTTTTCAACCAAACTTCTGAGAAGGAGAAGCACAGCGAGCTGCTTCTCCAAGTTGCTCACCATGTGTTCTGAAAACCTTCAGTTTGTTTGGCTCTTTTATTGGCAAGAAGGGGGTAAAAAGGAATGTGGGGGTAAGGGGGGGGGGTGAAAACAACATCCTATCTTCACAGCAGGGGGCTAAATTGGAAACAAAGACAGGGGTCACACAGAAACTAAATTAACACAGTTTTAACAAGTTCTTCCTTTCCAGGGTGAGAACTCTCACCTTTAAATAAAAACAACTAGTAACATAAAACTACTATTGTAAGAGTGATAACAAAACATAATAATTCACCTCACAACCACTAAGACAAAAGACAGGCAAGAATAAATAAAGCAGTAAAATAATATAAAAACTAAAAGCTTAGGGATTAAGTAGTGAACCCCAAAGCTTGAAAAATGTCTGATTTGTGGTGAAGATCATGAGTCAGATTTTCCAAAGGAAGGATGGCAGATATCTGTGTAATCCATATATTCACATATGGTTACATATTGCAGCAAAATACACTTCTTAGCAAGAACAAAGATTTAGAATGTGCATCCAAACTGGAATGAGTCGTTTTTGTTGACGTAGCAGAGAGAATGGAAAGCTTCAGTTAGCTGCTCTGGAGCTCAACACAGCTCTCAGTGAACCAGCCTCAGGAGCATGCTAACCCTGCTGCTATCCAGATGAGCAGTGTGTGGGTATATCTGTTCTGTTTTTACTATATTTTATGGTTGCCTACATACAGTCACAGAAGACATTTGAAACACAAGGTCTGTTGTACTTTTATTGTTCAAACACAACATGCATCTTTTCTGAAGTGATCCTACTCAGTTGCACATTCCTTAGGATTGGAGTGCGCTGTTAATAATTACTCCACTGTCTTTTATGCTGAAACATTCTCTATATTGTACAGTTTGTTAACCTTAATTTGATTTTTATGTTTTATCTCTGTGTGGATCTACATGTTTTGGTGATTCGTCATTTTGCTGTTGTTGCACTGGAGTTTCACCTGTTTTGAGACAATAAAACATTTTTTCTATTATATGATATTCTATTCTTCTAAAATGGCTTGATATCAGTTCTCTAAACAGTTATGAACTATTGTACAAGACATAAAAATTAACAATAAACCTGAAGTGACATTTTATTCATGACTGTATGTTCATATAGACCTAAATGTTCTTATCAATAATCTACATGACTATTCCAGTTATTTATAATTGTGTATGTCTGAATGGTGTGTTTGTATAGATATACAGTAATAAATAATTCATTCTGTGTATGTTATTACTACTGTCTTATTGTCTGTGTTGAGCTACAACCTGGACTGGATTATTCTCAACTAAGAGCAAAATATTTAAAACCAAGTTTGTGATTTGTGAACCAACTTCAGCTTTGTGAAAAAATGTTTAATCCAAACTCTAAATCCTAAGCAAATAATCAAACCATAATAGTGTACTAAAAACATAACAAAAAACTGAATCAATCATAAAAATGTTCTGTACCATATCAGCCTCAGGAGACTTTTGAGGTTTGAAGAGATGCTGATGTCAGGTTCTTCTAGGTTCTGACGGGTCTGCAGTTTTCCTCTCCTGATTTATTCTGTCAGATGTCATACAGCACACTGTGCACCACTGAATATCACAAACACAGTTTTTTAATTGCCTATTCATCTTCACTGACATTGTTTAGCATAGGATGTGCATCTTCCCACTCATGTCTGTCATGATTTGTGGTATGTAGTGGTGAGGTAGGACCCAGGATGAGGTGAAAATGGTTGATTTAATCAAAAGCTCTCACAGGTAAACAGAAGTCCAGGCAGCACAGGTGAGATACGAGACTAGGACCTCTGACACTGCAACATGACTTGACAACAATGATAAATAGACAAGGACCCAACAAGGAAACACAGACACAGGTGGGATTAAATACACAAGAGGTAATCAGGGAACGTGAGACACAGCTGAGAGCAATCAGGGCAGACAAGACGACACAGAAACTAAATGAAGACAGAAAACCAAATCCTCACATCTGCATCTTTGCAAGTTTTTGCTTCCAAGGACCATGGTCAGAAGTGGTCCTAGCCTGTTTGGTGAGGGGTGGTTCACCCATTAGGGGTTAGGTGGATGTTGTGTTGGTGTGATGGTGATCTGAGTCTGTGTCATCCGGTTTGCGACTCTTTATTTTGCAAAAATGTATTTTATACAAACACTCCCTGAGCTCCAATTCATATACTTCAGTCTCTAATAACTGAAATATTTTAAATTACTCACATTTTAAATGTGCATACATTTCAATGTCTTCAAAAAAAACTTATTCATAACATCTAGTATCTTTTACTACAGGGGTGCTCAGGACTGGACTTGTTTTACCTCATTCTCTTCAGAGCTTTAATATCAAGCATTAAATGTGTAAGAAATTAAATTATGCTGACATAGTGTAAACTACAGTAGACTCAGACTGTACTCAATATTAACATTTTGCCTTATTGTAATGTTTAAGGACTTCAGCACTTAAATCTTGGTTTTACTTTCACTCTGAGCATAAACAAAATAATCAGTAAAACTTAACATAAATAATTAACCTTATACATGAACATGCTTTGTAAAATACTTCTCATTGTGGTGATCTGTATTTTCTGTGCATTTATTTTGAGGTTTTTCTGTGTTTACTAGTCTGTCCTCCCTGTTGATTGATCCCAGCTGCGTCCTGTTCCTCACCTCACCAAACCCTAAATATTGACACTCATTAACACTTATTTCTTTGCCACACTGACTAAAATACATAACAGAGCTTCACAAATTTCTGCAAGTGTGGGGAAACCAATCTGTTCCACAGTTTTTAAACTTTACACAAAGGGCAAACCTGACCCACCTCTACTGGTGGCCCACCTGTCAAACATTGAAAAGGACAAATTAACCCATGAGCGTGCCGAGAGAGAAACAGACTCTTTTTAAGTTAAAAACTGTTCATACATCACAATATGACTCTTTCTCTAACATCCATACAGTTTAACTATATTCTGAGGGAACATTACTGAGTGTTTGGTTGACCACTAACCTGATTTGACAACTAACGGGGGTGGGGGGGTCATCCCACCCCCCACAAATGCGCCCTTCCCCAAACCTTGTCATCAAGGCAAACTGACCTCCGTGTTTTCAGTTGAGTAAAACCCTGTTAATCAGATGTCAATTAAAATCATGTGTGCTGAATTAGGGAAATGCTTAAAACTTGCAGGGCCTGGTGGACCGGTGCTGAAAAACACT